GTTCCCGGCTCTCAGCTCCTTGGAATTTCCTGAAGTGATAAGAGCAATGAGGGCATCTTTTGTCATATTTGGTCTCTTGCCTTCAGCTCCTGAAATTGCTTCAGAGCCATAAAGGTGAAATGGGGGGTCTTGTTATTCATAACAAGCTCCTTTCCACCACAACTGGATTTACGTTAGTGAGGTGACTTGTGGAAGGCAGGTAAGGATGGGGCTGGTTGCCCCGTGGCTGGACAGGGAAACCAACCATGAATATAGGAGTGGAACTTTCAGTCCCCACCCCCGATTTCCAGGGAGGGGAGAAAGGCTGGAGGTTGAATCAGTCACCAATGGCCAATGATTTAATCAATCATGCCTCTGTGATGAAACCTTCATAAAAACCTAAAAGGAGGGGGTTCAGAGTTTCCATGTGCCACAGTGCCAGGCCCCAAGCTCCACAGGGATAGAAGCTCCTTTGTTCAGGACCTCACGCTATGTATCTCTCCATCTGGCTATTGATTCATATCCTTCAATATCCCTTGTAATAAATCAGTAATCTAGTAAATAAACAGGTTTCTCTGAGTTCCGAGAGGTGCTCTAGCAAATTAATGGAAGGCAAGGAGGAGGTTGTGGGAACCTCTGATTTATGGCCAGTCCGAAGTAGAGGTAACAACCCGGACTTGACATTGGTGCCCTGAGTTGGAGAGGAGTTGTTGGGTCCTCCAATTTGTAGCCATAGGTCAGAAGCGCAGGTAACAACTGGGGTTTGCGCCTGGCCTGTGATGTGGAGAGCAGTTCTGTGGGACTGAACCCTTCACCTGCGGGATCTGATGTTCTCTTTCCAGGTGGAGAGTGTCAGAACCGAATTCGCAGACACCCTGCTGGTGTCTTTGCCTCTTGGTGCTCTCCTGCGGGTGCCCTGGGAATGTTTCCTCGGGTGTTTGGGTGAAACCAATCCAGCAGACTTGCCCCACCCGTATCTGTATATAAAAGAGAGAGCTAACGATCCTCCTCCATTTTTAGGTAACATAGAAGCACTGAGTACTTCCTGCAAGTCGGGGTCTGTAAATATTTTAGATACGGTGTCTTGCTTAATCTCAGCGGCACCACAGAGATAAGCATGACCTCCCGTTTTACAAATGAGGGCAGTGAGACTCTGAGACAGCTGTTTTCAACAGAACATGCTGGTGGCGCCACATGGATTTCAGTGTGCTTGTCCGGAAGTTCACACATGTAAACAATTCACTGTATAATGGTAGCTGTCCAACTTTAAATATATATAAAAACTTTTTGGATGTTGACAAGTAATGTCAACATTACTTGCTAACCTGCTAACACAAATTTTTTTTAAAAAAGATTTTATTTGAGATAGTGAGCGAGAGAGAGAGAGAGAGCATGAGTGGTGTGGGGGCAAAGGCAGAGGGAGAAGCAGGCTCCCCACTGAGCAGGGAGCCCGACGTGGGGGGCTCGATCCCAGGACCCTGGGATCATGACCTGAGCCAAAGGCAGACGCTTAACCGACTGAGCCACCCAGGCACCCCAAAAACTTTTTTCTAGCATGTAAATCTCTATGGGAATTGAAAAACCTCTCATACACCTCAATCAAATTCTTCGTGTGATCTGGACAATTTAAAAGTTGCTTCGACTTTGGTAATTAAAGATTTCAAGATTTTATTATTATCATCATTTCACATCACAATCCTCTTTCCATTCTCTCTTTAGCAAGAATCATGTAAAGGCCTGATGAAAATTTTATCTTACTGAAAGGTTTTTAAATTTTTTTTACACTTAAAAATGTAGAAAGCAACTTCTGTAAAGGATTAAAACTTAAAAGTGGAAACACTTTGTGTTTGATTAAATAATGGTGAATAAATTATGAAATAATTTCTAGGGGCGTCTGGGTGGCTCAGTCAGTTAAGCATCTGTCTTCGGCTCAGGTATTGAACTCGGTGTCCTGGGATCAAGCCCCGCATCGGGCTCTCTGATCATCGGGGAGCCTGCTTCTCCCTCTGTGCTCTGTCTCTCAAATAAATAAATAAGAATCTTAAAAAAAAAAAAGAAAGAAAGAATTTCTAAAGGGAGATTAATATAGAAGAGGTACGACTTTTATACTTGTTTGAGGCCCTCTGTGAATTTAGTGCCAATACTACAGGATGTCAGCAGGGAAGTTTTCTGCCAATGTTACTACTTTAACTGGTGATTTAAGGATCCAACCCCATTAGGCCTTTGGTATTTTTGCATTATTGGCCATATATTATAGTTACCATTATTGAGAGGCTACTATGAGTCAGGCACTGGCCAAATTTTTTACTTTTTGATCTCATTTAATCCTCTCCACACTCAGAAGTAACTGTCATCACCATTTTTTTTTTAAAGATTTTATTTATTTATTTGAGACAGAGAGAATGAGAGAGAGAGAGCACATGAGAGGGGGGAGGGTCAGAGGGAGAAGCAGGCTCCTTGCTGAGCAGGGAGCCCGATGCGGGACTCGATCCAGGGACTCCAGGATCATGACCTGAGCCGAAGGCAGTCGCTTAACCAACTGAGCCACCCAGGCGCCCCTGTCATCACCATTTTACAGATGAAGAAACTGGGACTCGTTAGTAATAGATCACATGTATTGAGCATTTGCTGTATTTTACCATTTCTCCTTGCGGCTGTGACCACATTTAATCCTTGTAACAAACCTGTGAGGTAGCTAGAGTTACTTCTATGCCTATTTTACAGATGAGGGAATTAAGACTCAAAGAGTTTGTTAACTTGTCCACAATCAGAGAGCCAATGCATACTGAAGCCAAGATTCTTCAGGCCCTTGCTCTCCTGGCAAAGGAGGGAGGGAGGATGACAGCCACCATGTAATGCAAAGTGTGAATTTCCCACCCAGGCAAGATGGTGGGGTGAGGTAAGTCATGACAGCGATCTTCATTCAGAATGCTCAGAAGTGGGTGCCTGGGCGGCTCAGTCAGTTATGTGACCAACTCTTGATTTCTGCTCAGGCCACGGCAGGCTCTGCACTCAGCAGGAGTCTGCTTGACATTCTCTCTCCCCCCCTCTCTCTGCCCCTCCCCACCCCATTCTCTCTAAAATAAATAAATAAATCTTTTAAAAAAAAAATGTTCAGAAGTTTCCCCAGGAAAAGGAAGTTGATCTCTTCAGGGTGGCCCCAAGAGGGCAGAGCTAGCATCCCAAGACCTGACTTCTCTCTTAAAGGAAGAATTTTAATACAACAGCTGTCAAGGAGTGGTTTCAGTAAGAAGTGGATTCCTTTCCACCAGCATGTGGTTCTCCACGTTTAACCTGCTCACTGATCACCCAGGGAGCTTGTTTTTATAAAGCAGATACGCAAGACCTTTTCCCAGAGATTCTCAGTAAGTGTGAAGCAGGCCCCTGGGAGCCGAATTTATAAATAAATGCTCCTGGGTGAACCTGTCGCAGGTGATCTAGAACAACACTGGGAAATACTGAATAGGCCACACGTGGCAACCTTCTCATTCGAGAGGGGATTCCTTTATTATAGGGGAGGTTGGACTGGATGTTCCTAAGTTACCTTCAGAGCTGCTGAAACCAGAACCAGAAAGATAAAATGTTGAGCTGCTAGGAATGTGATAAGATGGGCTGAAAACTTCTGTGAGCTAACTACTCCAGTTGGAAAAAAAAAAAAAAAGCTGTATCACCATCTGGGGGCTGCCTAAAAGTCTCTTATTTACACTCCACCCTAAAATCATAGAATGATTTTCTCATTTAATTCTGATACCTCCCACTTTACAGACCTGGAATCAGACTCAGAAAGGCTAGGGAATGCACAACACAGCCTACGCCCCACATTCAGCAATTCCCAGTGTGCTGCTTTTCGTAGGCTTGAATTGCCCAAGACTAAGATTATGCTTATCAATTACAAATGTTCCAAGTTTTCTTCCAGCAAGCAATTAGGAGGTTTAAGTTCTGGGCAGCTGTCACAGTGAAACAAAGTTCCCAGATACTTCGGTACTATGCTTCTCGAAGGACAGGGCACCGCATTAAAAACGCTCAATTCTTGGCTCTGACTTTTGCCCATAGCTATGGATCGACAATGGGACCGTGGATGTTTCGCACCCTGTGGTCTCTGTCCCAAGCCCAGCTAGGTCCCACACGGAAGCCTCACATGTGTGCATCTGATTAGCAAAACCTAAATCACGTCTGAATCTCTGACTGTAGTTCAGTTAGGAAAATGTGGTGTTCACATTCATTGTAGGTTTTCACTTTCTAGCCTCTGTTGCCCAGGAAGGCATATTAGGGGAAAAGAAAAGAAAAGCAAAAGTTGGGATGGATGCTGAGCAAACCAATCAGAATCTTATCACGTATATCTATCCCCCTTGACCATTCTTCCCAAACCTCCTCCCTTACCTCTAGACTACAGTCCTATATCTGGAAAGAGGTGTCCCTTCTGTCTCTGCTTCCTCTCCTCTGACTCATTCCTTAACTCACACAGTATGATCGCATCCCCCCTCATATCACTTCTTAGCACATGACCTTTTCCACCTCCTTGCTTTGTCTCCCCCCACCCCAACCCATCCCCCTTCCACTCCTATGTAGCGTCTGCCAAGTTCTGCATTTAGCACCTCACTGCCTCAGTCTGTGTACTCTGCCTGGGTGGTCCTGTCCACTTGTGTGGCATATCTACCATATGCAGATAATCCCCCGAAGTGTAACTCCAGCCATATAATTTTTCCCAAAGAACACACCCAGGTTTCCAGTTGCATCCTAAGTGTCCGCCTAAAGATCACAAGCACCTCAAACTCGACATCTCTAATACAAAATTCATCACTTACTTAGAAAATTTGTTCTTCCCTCTGCATCCTCTGTGTATGTAAACTGCGCAACTACCCACTTGCCAAAGATAGAACCCCGAAGTCGACTGGATTCTTCTCTTTCCCTTTCACAGTTCTTACATTCAAATGGTCTCTAAGGCCCATAAATTCAGTGGAATCCTTTTACCTGAGTTCCTGAGCTTAATAAGTGCTCTCTAAAGAAAGACCTCAGACATGTTCATTCTAGCACTTTATTGGAAATTGGCTGTATACATCAATGAAGTCAGACCAAAGTCAAAGCATCACTTCCACACAATATTCTGATATCTGTGCTATCTTTTTACATAACTTAATACATCCCAAGATACTCCTGATTTTGGTCAAGGAGCTTGAGTGGTCCAGAAATCTCTCTCTATAAATATAGATCATAGTATCTAAAATAACCATTGTTTTTGAGTTAGTTCCAAAAGTCCGGGAACATCTCTTAAAATCTGTAGCTTAGACTGGCTGCAGTGCTTGCTGGTGGGAGGGAATGAAGGGTTTACACTTCACACCATGGAGCTGGTTACAGCGGGTGCTGGGGCGGCGGGGACAGAGCTCCTCGAGTGTGGGGCACACAAGTGGGTGGGGGTTGGAAATCCTGAAAGCTGCCCAGGCCACTCAGCCACCCTGTGTTTTCCAACATTGCTTGAGTGTCAAAGTGAGGAGACTCCAATGTGGAAAGAAGCCCATCACCCCAGGTCCCTTGGCATTGCCAAGAAATGGCACAGCCTCCTCTAGATTGTTATAGGGGTAGACGTTCTGGCACAGAGAAGGTCCTGGGAAGTCCCACCCATCTCCCTCCCCCTGCCACGCTCAATTCCCTCCAAATTCCATAACTTGAGGGAGTGGCACCGCAAAGAAAATGTCTTTGAGCCAAAGTGCTGCTGGCCCCTTGGAATGAGGACAGGGTGCCTTTGCTTCGTTTGACCTGGGGGGCACCGGCAAAGGCTGCTCTGCCCCCAGCATCTTCCTCGCCCCCCTGAAGGCCATCGTCAGCGATCAGGTGCTTTGGTTCTTCGAAGCTTCTCAGCATTTAGCAATAGCACCTGTGTATCTGTGGTGGGCTTTACTGCTCACAATCACCAACAGCTTTAACCCCCACCAAGTCATTGGTTCTTGCAACCCTATGAGGTAGGAAGGGCAGGGATCATGATCCCCATTTAAAAGAGAAGGAACCTGGAACCCACAGAATTAGATCCCTTGCCTGAACTCACACAGCTGGCTGGTGGCAAAATCCAAACAGAACCCCAGTCTCCTCTCATGCGGCAGGCTCCCGAGGCCACACTCCAAAGCCCCTCCTGCTGCTTTTCCGAGAAGGAAGAGGTGGGGGGAGGGGACACCGTCCACATCACTCCCTCGCCCCTCTTAGGAGATCTGATCTCAGACGGCTCCACTGAGGACGGGATGAGTCCGCATGCGATAGAGAATGACCGCAGTGGCCGGACACAGCAACAGGGAGGTCATGATGACAATGGTGGCCAGGATGATGAGGACAATGACCCAGATATCCAGGATGTGCTTGGGGAGCGTGGCTTCCACCGGGACCTGGCTGACGGCGTCCATGCTGCTTCACTCTGTGACAGACAGGAAAGAGGAAGTCACTATCTTGCACCCTCTCCGGGAGTCAGAAGCTTGCGTCCCTTACCACCTCCGTGCTCTTCAGGTTACCTGACCGATACGAATAATGGGCTCACTTACCGAGGGCTTCCTACGGGCCAGGCCCCACGCTAGGCACTTTCTGTGTATTAACTTACTTAGCCCTCCCTTCAACCACCACCTCCATGAGGCGGTCAGCCTTTTGTATTTCTTGGACTTTATCTTCAGTTATTTCCATTTTACGATGAGGACCCTAAAGCCTTTACAGATGTAGTTAATTTGCCCAAGGAAGTGAAGCCAGATGCGTGGGACTCCAGAGCCTGCATGTTTAACTATTAAACTATCACACTACCATTCTGGCCCCTCATCTGTTAATTTGTCTTTGGTCCTGTGCCCCTTCTCCCATTCTCCTGGTAATAAAACCTGCTCTTTTCTGTGGAGAACCTACCTATTCTGTGTGGTTTAGTGAAGGCGCTCACCTGAGCACAAGGGTAGATATGTGCTCTAGGCTTGGCCATCACTAATCATAGCCTCAGTTCAGGGCTGGGCAAGTGACCCTGGCCGAGGCAGCCCAAGTCCTCCCAGGGCATTGGTTAAGATGATTCTTTCGGGGCGCCTGGGTGGCTCAGTTGGTTAAGCGACTGCCTTCGGCTCAGGTCATGATCCTGGAGTCCCGGGATCGAGTCCCGCATCGGGCTCCCTGCTCAGCGGGGAGTCTGCTTCTCCCTCTGACCCTCCCCACTCTCGTGTGCTCTCTCTCTCATTCTCTCTCTGTCAAATAAATAAATAAAATCTTAAAAAAAAAAAAAGATGATTCTTTCTGCTGGGGACTGCTCAACCAAAAGGATGTGAGTCTGGAAAGGACGGGCAGGGTGCTGTCTCACCCACGTGTGGATAGCCCATCTTAGAGACGGAAGGAGAAATGGAGGCTTCAGGACCCGAACCCCATGCAGTCTGACGCCACCGGCAATCCTGGACACCCCAGACACAGAAGCGAATCATTCCCTGCCTTTAAGCCGGAGTCAGCGTGGCTTCTCCCACTTAACACCTAAGAGTTCTGATGGATAAGAGGTAAACCGGTTGTTGCCAAACTTTTTCAATTCACAGCACCCTTAGTGTTTTAGTAATTTTTTTACAGCTCTGCAGGCCCAGAGGAATACCTAGCAGTTCCATTTATTATGGAGTTAGCTTCAAACAAGTCAGTAAGCATTTATGTCCTAACAGAGTAGTAGCTGCTTGAAAAAAAATCATACAAATTGAAAAAAGAAAATATTTTTATTTCATTCTTCACCAGTTACTTACTAATGGGACGTGGGCAGTGGGCAGACACTGCACCACTTTGCAGACTCTGGGGTCAGATCGGACAATGCCACGCCCACTGCCCACTGCACGTTCATTTGTGCGCACCACCTGCTGCATCCTGGCAGCCACCAAAAACTCAGCTTCACGAAACAGAGCATCGCCAAAGGGAATGCAGTACGGTTCACGTTAAACTGTAAACTTTCTCGAGCTAGTCGTTTGCACAGTGGCTGAGGGATGTCAAAAATGTTACAGATCCTGCGGCCCCCATACACTTTTCCAATGAGTTCAATGTGGCTCCCAGGGCTCAGTGTACAACTTGGGAACGAACCACAGACCTAACCCATTCCCTGCCCAGAGGGCACAAGGCTGGAACAAACACTCTGCTGTGGTTCCTTCTAGATCTGAGATCTGAGATCTGTATTTCTGTGATTCTAGGTCCCAGACAAAATTTCCAATTCTAGTCCAATGCCCTGCTTTGTCCTAATCAATACCTTTTCCTTTCTAATGCCTTTGGCTCCATGCCCACTGCTGCCCCGCTAAGTAAGCTGCTGACGGCCATATCCAAGGCAAAGCCTCCAAGATATACACACAGGGATGTTCATTTCTGCATTGTTTGTTACAGCAACCAATGCAACAAGTGTCCATAATAGTAATATAGCGTATATCCATATATTGGTACACCATTCACTCATTTAACAAATATTTAGTGCTTGCTATTCACCAAGTATTGTTCCAAGTGTGTTACAAATATTAATGTATTTAATAGTTACTAAAAAGAATGATGATCTACAGTGAGTTCTGAACATTCTAAGTGGGGGGAAAAGTACAGTACAGAATAATGTGCATAGGATTATTCGTCTGGCTCAGATTTTGTAGAATTAAGTAGACAGATGGGGGACGATACATAAATGTAAAATCATTTATGAGCAGAATCCAAAGAGTTAAATAGTGATTACCTGGGGGCCAGACTAGGAGTGGGAGAAGCTTTTGCTTCTCATTCTTCATGTTTTCACGCTGTTTGAATTTTCTAAACATGAGCATGTCTTACATTTAATTTTCTTAAGTCCACTGGATTGAGGGGAAAATGGTCCAATAAAATTCAAGTACGAGCCTAGATCAAGTGGTCACCAAATGCCCTATACTGTGTCAAGTGAGAACCATCTTAGGACAGTATTAAAAAACACTAATTTCTGGGTCCCATTATAGACTTACTGAATTAGACTCAAGAAGGGACAGGAGGAGGCCGTTTTTCCCAATACGCAGCCAGCTTTGGGAACCCCCGGACCCACGGATCTCTAAGGCTGCTACGACTCTCTCCAGCACTGTGATTTGGCAACTGATTCCCAGGTGCTCTGCAGCCAGTGTGGTCAGACCTAGGCAAGGCCCAGGATGAAGGAGAAGCCTCTGGCAAGGCTCCCGAGGAGACCAGGATTATCAGGCTAGGGCCTGCCGAAGAGGGAGAGGCCGAGGAGGCTGGCCCTGCCTCAGCCCTGGAAATGTGATCACTTACTCCCAAGTCCAAGGCTCAGAAGCATGAGTCACAGGAGCCGTGCACTGTTAAGGAAGGACAGAGGAGGCAGAAATCATTCTTTGTGGTCTCCTGATTACATCAACAGCTAGCTTGCCCTGGGCCAAAAGAACCCCACGAAAGCCCTTTCTGGTAAATCCATTAGCATCAAAGAGTTTCCGCGACTCCAAATGCCAGGAATAATTTCCCTGGCTGACTTTCATATGGAAAACCTGTCATTTACAGGAACTCAGGCTTCAGGGCTCATTCACCATCACGAATCACAGAAGCTACACCAGCCTTATTTCACAGATGGCAGAACGGAGGTCCGGAGGTCTTTCCCCACCTTCAACCCCACCTTCAACCCCACCTTCTTCCAGAATAATCATTCAAAGACATAAATCCAATCAAGTCGCTGCCTAAACAACACAAAACAGAATAGAACAAGTAGATGAATAAATGAAACTTCTTCTGTGTACTGCAATGCACTCTAGATTGTACTCTTTTGCACATGGCGTTACTTAAAACCCTGATCAAAAAAACAGATAAACACAGAGCTGCTCTAGAATGCCAGGGAGGAGGCAAAGGAGGGGTCTGGGAGTCCCAGCCAGCGAGGCTGGATAAATACCCTTAGAGGCCCTAAGCACTAGAGATTAGGATGCTCACCCCCTTCCCACATACAATTCAAACTAAAAGCAATACTAAACCGTAACACATAAAACTAATTTTCCCAGGTGTTATTTTGGTGTCCCTGCTTAGCACAGCCTGTTCGCTTGGTATAGTACAGCTGTTCAGCTTCCCCTGAACCCCCTGGACTCCTCAAAACACAGTCTGAAAACCACAGGTTATGATGTCCTCCAAGGGCCCTCTCAGCGCCACTACTGTTCCAGAGGGCTCTAAGGCTGGCCATGAACGTGACCAGGTGTCCGAACACACAGGGAGCTCTCGCTCCTTGTTTCAACCTTCTCAGTCTTCAAACGTGTCCCCTCCGACGGGCTGTTCCTTCCCCTGGAACACCTCTCCCCACCGTGAAAGAAAAGTTGTGTCCCCAAAATAAGAACTCCGTAAAGCATATGTTCGGCATCTTCAATGGCACGCTGGAAAGTTTTCCTTGAGAAAAAGCAGGACTCGGGCTTCTGCCAGCTGACTTGTGTTTGACCTCTATCTGGCATCCGGGTGCATGGTTTCTTGCGAGTACACAAAACCCTGTTTCTTGGCACATCTAATTAATCAATCACACAGATCATTTGCTTTGCAGATAACACTGCTTGTTATTTCTGATTAATGGGTCATGTCAGACTGTGGCCCAAACCATTCATATCACAGATTTAACCTTATCACAGATAAAAATGGGATTTTTTTATGACCATGGGAGGTAAAACAGCAGTCAGGCCTAAACTCCTGTCAATTTAAACTGGCATACTTTATCTCCTGATGACCTCACTAAATGAATAAATAAACGCCGACATATGTTCTATATAAGTTTGTCTAAGAAGCTGCGTTAACACCACTCTGAGCTGACAAGCAAAAAAGCCATGGTATCACCAGCCACTGACGCCGTGGGCCCTACACCACCTGCCCTGCGAGAGGCCAGTTTTCATAAGCAACTGAAAACCTTTTTGGGGGGAAAAAAAAAAATCATTGTTCCAACCAATTCTATCATATGGCCAATTTTCTAGTGCCAACAAAAAAATATCTAAATTTCAGAAATTAAAATTTCCTGCAAGTCAGTAGTTTTAGAATAATTGAATCCAAGGTGACTAATCCGTGCTATCTATCCGCCTTTCAATCATGAGAATCACTCCCTAGCAAGCAGCTCTCACCCTCCGACAAAGTAATATTGGTTCTGGTTGAGCACCATCAGGACAAGTAACTCTGTCCAGGATATTCGTTCATTCATTCATTCATTCATTCATTCAGTACTTGCTATATACAAGATACTCCCTTAGGAATTACTGTTATTTACTCAGAAGATATAACTCACTTCCAAGAAGCACAGAGAAGTTAAGTACCCCTCCTCTTATTTCCTCAAAAACAGGATCACACAAGCCAGCATTTAACAAATACCAAGTGCAAAGTACTGTGCGAGGCCTCGTCCCACACATTAACTTACTTAACCTTCACAATAATCCTGGGTTGGATATATTATTTTACAGATGTGGAAATGAA